ACACACACACACACACACACACACACACACACACACACACACACACACACACATTTTCACGTTTCGCTTCTATTACATTGTTTACAACCCAAAATAACGGCGTCAACTTAAGACTTCTCGCGATAGTTGCAGCAGCAGCTGAGATCCCTGGAGCAGAGGGACTTGACATGTCAACAAAAGAGATAAATTATCACCACACAGGTAACCTAACATGTTGTAATTGTGCCGGTGAGCAAACATGAATACTCTCTGTGAGTTGATGTGGTAGAAAAATTATATATATATATAAAAAAACCCACAAAAAATAAACGTAGAGAAAGCGAGAGTGTCGTATGGTGTGACTGTCCACTTAGCTTTTGTGACAATCACTGTACTTTTACATGAGCGATGATTAACCCGTTACTCTATTTCATGTATCTGGGTGTGTCTTTCAAAGCTCGGGGTGGCATTTGAGAGACTTGTACTGATGTGAGTTATCGTTTAAATAGATTCAAATCCGCGTAGATAACTTATTTTAAAGGCTATGGCGTTAGCACAGAGACTAACGCGTTGTTTTTGTTACTTTTTAGCACTTGTGGAGTTTTTATATAGCTGAAAATATGTTTTTATCAAACTTTAGCCTAGCTAAAAGCTAAGCTGATATTGCTAAACTCTATGCTGTTGAGTATTCACAAAGCAAGCGCAATGACCAAGACTTCCTTTAACTTCTCTAAATTTCGTTCTCTTTATCCCCTTTAAAATGCTCCCTAAAGGCATGTAAATGTCTCCTGGTGTGGAATAACCTGATAGGGAAACACGTGAACCTCCCTCCAATCCATCCTCTCCATCAGCATCGTCACCTGCAGTCTCCATGACGACCCCTCCTCTCGTGTCACCTTTTGGCGGGCAGCCGCCACCTCAGCAGCAGCAACAGCAGCAGCAGGCTCAGGCAGCACGGGACGTCAACACGGCCTCGCTGTGTCGCATCGGTCAGGAGACGGTCCAAGACATCGTCCTCAGGACCATGGAGATCTTCCAGCTCCTCAGAAACATGCAGGTATGGTCACGTTTGTAGCTCTAGAACCAATGTGAGACTCTTAAGTATGACACAAGATGAGTAAAATTAAAGGTTTGGACACGCTGTCATGAAAACAGACCAGCCAAAAGATGTAAGGGGGGAAAAAAAGAGATACTAACATAACATGATGACTATTATTCTAATAACAAAGCAAATGCCAGTCAGGAAGGCAGTTCTTTATCAACACATTTTGATGCAGGATTTAAAAACAACAGGATGCCTGCAGTCTTGATGGTAAATGGGAAACGACCACAGCCAGCAAGAAGCGCAGTGCAGTTAAAAGGCCAAAATCACTTGATTTGAGAAGCCTGCAGAGGCAGTTTAAGGTTCATTAAAATAATGTGGCATGTAGATTGTATTCTGAAAGAATTTGGCAGAAAGTACAAAGATGTAAGGAAACTTTTAATCAGTGTCTAGGCTCCAAATATGCCTTTTTCACAAATTACATTTTGACAACTAGGAGCAGGAAAAGTACAGACCCTTTTTATGCCTTCAATCATTAAGGCAGGGAAAATACATATTAGCATAAGGCAGTGCCTCTTAAATCTGGGGACAGGAACCACAGCATAAAACTGAAGTTAAATTAATATCACTTAAAAAAAAATTTGTTTGACAAAATAAACAAGAGTTTGCTGATGCGATTCCAATCACCTTTACTTCCCAATTTTCAGTTGTTAATGATAAAAATGAGGCATGTGGGGGCCTGCCACGCAAAAATTGGAGAACTGCAAGCAGATCTAGTTCGTCTTTCTTGAGATAGGAAGTTTTTTTGGATATTTTAATTGCTCAAAGTTCAGCTTACTGTCAGGAATTTATGACCAGAAGTGCATTTTTCCATGCAGCAATGTGATATGACAACCATTGTCAAAGTGATTGCGATAAATCCAACACTGGCTAAGCAAGGATGTTGCCTTTGTGTGGTTTCCTCCTGTGTTTGCAGGGCTTTGTTTATGTTGTCATAACAAAGAAGGAGCGCTCGTAGATAAGACTCATGAAGTCATCCTACATATATCATTGAGCTGAACGTATTGCTTTTATGTCAGATGTGTTAGTGCACTTTCCTTCCAAATGTTTTCTTTTATTTCCAAACAGTGCATCAGTCTTTACTGCATTTAAGTGCCAGCGGATGCTTGTTATTATTCCTTGAGATCATTTATTTGTGCATTAGCTTGGTCTGCAGTTCACATGTAGTTCAGCTTTGACCTCATCTTAAAGATGCAACTGGAATGAGTTTATCGTGGATGTCTGCCTGCTCCTCCGAGACGCCGCTCCCGCACCTTGTTAAGATCACAGCCAGCGAGATGGGCCGAGCGAGCGCGACCTCAGCCGCAGAATGCACAAACAGCATTGTTGTGACTTGTTTTTTTAGACCACAGGCCGCCTTTATACTTGTAAAAATTCCTCATGTGTCTTCTCCTCCCTCCACTCCTTCCGTCTCTCTCTGTCTGTCTCCCTTTTGCTTCTCTCTTTGCTTGCCCTCAAGGCAGGCTTGTTTCATGCTATGCAGGATGTTTATAATCAGACAGTGCTGCTCCAGAGGCTTGTCGATCCTCTCAATAAAAAACATGTCATGCTGCTCTTTAACACCCATTGTTGTTGAAAGCCAGTTTTGCAGCCTCAGTATGGGAGTGAGTGGGGAAAAAAGAAACCATTCAAAGTGCTTGAGCTGAAGCTGTTTATCTTTTGATGCTGCGCAGTTTATGTTTGGTGCTTTAAATTGTGATTATTAAAACCACATGCCATATTGTTGCAGGATCACAAACGTGTTAAACACATTTTAAAGTGTCTTTTCAGACTGATGGCTCCCGTTCTTAAGTAGAAAGAACACTATCACTTTTTTATCAGAGGATTTCCTAATGCTTTCTTATCAGCTGGGGAACAACAGAGGCTTCGTGATCCTTTGGCAGTCAGTGAGGATCAATAAGTTTAGCTTTTTTATTAGCACTAAGAAAATTCTAGTACTTTATTTAACACAGAGTTTCCCCGTTGGTTCTTCTTAGCTGCCTAATGGAGTCACTTACCACCCCAACACCCACCAGGACAGGCTGGGGAAACTCCAGGAGCATCTACGAACGCTTTCTGTGCTCTTCCGCAAGCTGCGCCTCGTCTACGATAAATGCAACGAAAACTGTGCCGGCCTCGACCCCATACCTCCAGAGGTGAGACACGACAACACTAAGAAATATGCTAATGACAGCTTTCTCTTACTGACGTTATTGAATTTCTGTTAAAAGTTGGTAAAATAGTCACATTTGTGAAACTTCCTTCCATTTCCAAAGGAAACCCGTTGTGCTTTTTCCCCATTTCCTGTCACATATATACACACAGTTATATCAGTTATATTATACCACCAGTGGTGCACTTTCCATAATTATTAAAAATAAAGTTGTGCAGTTTATTAATGAAATGTTTTTGCAACATTCATCAATACAAAATATTTCAGAAGAAACATGTAATAATGAAGAATGTGTCAAAATACAGTCATACAAACGGGGGGAAAAAATTAAAGAAGATTAGAAAAGCATAAATGTAAGCTCCAAATGATTGAACAGTTGGTGTATTAATATAAAACAGAGTCATGAAAGTGCAGCATCAAGAATGAAAATACAGTGCAACTCAGTAGTTAACAATAAAATAAAAAAGCCTTAAAGGTTTAAAAGAAAAGTAAAAAGTTATAAGAAAGCCTGCCGATATATTTAAATCTTTAAAAGAGGTCTAAAAGGAAATGGCAGCAGTTTGTTGCATAACAGAGGAGCTCTAACAGCTAACGCTCAGCCGCCTTCAGTCTTTTAAGTGTGAGGTGGGAACAGTTAGCAGGTTCTTACATTGGCTGGTTGGTTAGGGGACAACAGAGTGCACTTATAAATCATAAAAGGATTGACGAGGAGGGAAAATTAATCTTAAGATGAGCCTGAAACATAAAAAGTGGAAAACTTTGAACTTTCCAAAAAGGGCTTCTAACATTTCTTTGAGCATTTATTTGCTGCACACGCCGGTCCTGTTGCAGAGACTGAAGCAATATGACGCACGCCTACAGTGGCGGCACGCACTGGTTGCATAACGCAGACAAAAGAAGCAGTTGGGGTTTGTTGGCTGTGATGTGGAGGAGAGGTGATGACATTGGTGCAAGTTGATTTAAGTATACAAAAGATTGGCGTGCACCTGGGAACACTGAGATTTAATCATGGGTTGATGCATGTCAGTGCACTCGGGTAAAGGTAAGGTAAAGTTAGCCGAAGAGCTCTGTCTGATTACACACATGTACTGATGCACTGAACTTTCCAATGCATTGCCAGCATGGATGTGTGTGAGGACATAAATGTCAGACTCAGTTGGACAATAAATTGTTTTTAAGTCATTAGCTCCATATTACAAAGTCAGTGTGATATGTGATATCAGGCACCAGCTTAATATAGTTGTTACCTGATAAAACACATTGTATTATACTTTGTATTTTACATATTTTGTCCATTTGTTATTACTTTCAAGATGCTGTCTTACCTCAAATTAGGTCATGCTTTTATTATATAAAGCACACCTGCAACTGCATTTAGGTTTTACATGATGAGGCTGTAAGCGGGGAAGTGCTGATACTACATTTTAAGTTGACTGATTGATCTTTTTAGATGTGAACGTCAACAAATGCTTTATATGCTTGTCAGGATTTTTTTTTTGTGCTTTCAGCCGTCACATAGTCCGGCTTTTCGTAAAAGCTGTCTGCTAAATTAGGAAGCTGTTGGTTTAAAGGAAGTAGGCCATTGTAACTTCCATATCCCCTTGCTCATGCACACACACACCCTCTCACAAAGCTGCTCACACAAACACACACATATTTACCCTGGGGAACTCTTATCTCACCTACTCCCTCTAGGTCTGTCTTTTCTCTGCCTGCAGCAGATTCATTGGTCGTTTCAGGTGAGTCTCCAGAGCCTCTTTACTGCTGGTTACAGTCACCATCCACCTTCAGGAGCAACAACACCACTTTTCCTCTTAGCCCCGCTCCTTCCGTGCCTGCCTTCACAGAATGATTGCACAATTGCATCCCCCACCCCGACACACACATAAATGTACAACATAGAAATGCAAGTGGTGCAGTGTAACTTGGCACAATAGCATGTTTTCGCCACATGTGCAATTCCACACGCACTGGCTCGCTGGGGGTGCACTCTGTGAGGCACCATGCGGGGCTCCGGCACGGCTATCCACTACTGTTTGATTGGATTTATGACTGCGGCAGTCCCTTCCCAATTTCTACAGATTGGCTCGGAGCTAATCTTTCTCACCAGGCTCCTACTGAGGATAAAGGAGGATGTGGGAGGAGACCAGTCTTAAATTGGAACAAATTTGTGATGGCTGCCACCACGTACATTTTCTGCATTGAGGAGTACAGTCAGCGAGAGGCATTTCGAACGATCTGTTCAAAGTGACTCTCGTGTGCAGTTGTGCCCTTAAATCAAAGCCGGTGACGGGTTTTCTTTGACATTTTCCTTTTGCCGTTCCTTCATTGAGTCATTACACCATCTGGCTATTTTTTTTCCTCCCCCTGCTCATTCCACCTTATTTAAATGTTTATTCATTTCCCCCCGAGGCTGAGACCCAGTCCGGTGCTGACCAGCCAATAGCTCCTCTCACCATGTTTGTCTGGGGCTGAGGGGTTGTTGATTTTGGCCCCAGCATGCATGCCATTTATCATCCTAGAGAATTCAGGTGGCTGCCTGACAGCCGCTCACTATTGGCTGCCTGAAACAGGAAGTGGAATCAATGACTCGGGCAGCGTGACCTCATCTCAGCCTAATTAGCAGCAGACCCGTTTAATGAACAGCTGGACCAACTGCACACGTCAGCGCTTTCGCCCCTTTTTCTTTCCACTTGTCGTTCGTTGCAGCTTTTTGCTTGCCCCTTCTCAGACTTTAATCTGCTTTCTTCCTTTTTAAATGCATTTTTCTTCCTCCTCCCCACATTTTCTACCACTTTCATCTTCTTTTCTCTGATATCTGCTAGATATTGGATCTCTGCTCATTTCCTTCTTTCTCTCGGGCCGGTCTGTTTGTCCTCGTTGGCTTTGTCTCTCTGTCTTTTTCTGCTTTTCCCATGTTGTTCTTTCCCTGTGGTCCCAAGTCTTGCTCTCCTCTTGTCATTTCCTGCAGTGAACAGCTATGCCATTTCATTTCCCTCTCCTCTTACACATTCACCCTGCTGTTTTTTTTTTCCAGTCTTTTTTTACCCTTTTCTTTTTGTCTCACTGAGGCAACCTGGAGAACTTCATTAGGCCATTCTTCTCTGTCAGCCAGGAAACCACATCCATCTTTCTGTGGAAGAGGCAGGGGTTATGACTCACACTTTGACGTGCACGTGCTGCATAGCTACACACACACACACACACACACACAAAATACACTCTCTATCCATCTCTCCCAACCTACTCAGCACATTTCATTTTCCCCCCGCGGGCTGCCAAACTGAGCCCACCACCTTTAAAATGTGATATGTCGTTGGCTTCGGCCTCAAATTATCTAATGAAAAAACTTTCATCTTTTCCTGCTCAAAGTTGAAGGCGAGCTCATAGTTTGTCTGGTATAATATCCTGCACATGTCCTTGCTGTCTTTTCTCCCTCCAAGAGTCAGAGTTTACAGTTTGGCGCAGAGCTAAGCCTGGAAACTGACAGGAGTAAAGAAACTTTTTCCAGACTTTTATGTCTTTTTGTCATTCTTTATTTTCTTCTTTGTCTGCCTTTCTTTTTCCCGTGCCCATTTTCTGTTCTCACCTCTCTCTGGCTCTTTTCCCACGACTCTTGCCCTCTTCAGTGCTATCCTACTCTATTAGTCTCCTCTCTCTGTCTGTATTTTATTTTCTTTTTTTATAACTTCCTTTGTGCTTGTCTTGATATTGTCTGGCTCCAACTCTACTCATACACTAGTCAGTCATTGCTTCCAGATGAATCAGGTTACTTAAATCAGCCGTCGACTGTCTGCAGGGCCTCTGCTCCAGCTGCACAACACGGGCCAAAATCTGTAGTCAGTCATAATTTACTGCTTTGCCAAGTCATTATTGGAGGAAGGTTTGCTATTCCACCATATGGGATTTTTTTTTTTTATTAGCTAATGTTGCTTGGAGACTGTCCTACCTAATCTATGTTTGTGATCTTGTCTGGTATGGCAGTATTGTTTTGGAAAGGAAAACAATGTTTTTCTAGATGTTTTTTTGTAACAGGAACTTCTTGCTTCCAGTATTACAAACCATAGCAGAGTCGTCCACAGCCTTTATTAAAACCCATAAAATGTCATGCTATATAAAACTGTTGCTGTCTTTTGAGAATATGAAACTCAGGTTTGACTCCATTTTCACTGCGTGCGCTTTACAGTCTATTATTTTGTTGTTGACAAAATTCAATTTTGTGCAGTTGCTCTGCAAAGATAGCATAACATCAATCACACATTGTCAGTGCAGGTCTTTTATATCCTTGCTGTCTGTGTGTTATGAGGAACAGTGTGTTCTCAAGACATTCATAGATTACTTGATGTGTGACTGCAGCAAGCCTCCTGCTCCCCTACCCACACCGAGGTGCCCACTAGGGGGCAGTGTGACGCAAAGCAGCAGGCAGTGACCCTGTTGGCTCTCGGGAACGCTGCCTCGCCTGAAGGCTCTTGCACATCAGCCTCACTCTAGTGTCAAGCAGACAAGGTCAAGCACACAGAGTGTTTAAAAATGAATTAATCTCCCACTCGCTTTTCCCTCTCACTCTTTTCCTGTCCCTGTCTTTCCACGTTGAAGAGAGTGTTCGAGAGCTTACACACAATCCCCATTTTCACCACTTTGTGGGAACAATCGTGCGAGAATGCATAGAGATATGTTGCATGTTGCATAGAGATTTTCCATACACATGTAAATGTGGCCTATAACTGCGCTCAGTGGGCGTATAGGAAAGATGTGACTAGGCAGCACAGTGCTTTTAATTTATTTGGACCTTAGACGTTAGATTGGGGAAAAACATAGAAGTAGGAAAGAGAATAATTGCATCAGGAGGTGAATCTTTAAACAGATTTTATTGAAAAAACTATGATATGGATCTTACTATGCGACTCCAAGCAGGGAAACACAATCCAGTTATCTGAATAAGTCAGCATTTTGGGAGCGATCCTCTTACGCTTGTCTTGCTTACAGTAAGTAATACAGCCACATTTTTTTGTTTGCTGTCCCTTCCAGCAACTGATACCCTTTGTGGAAGATGACGGCTCCAAACATGAAGACCGATCAGGTGGACAGAGCCGCTCTGCCAGTGAGGAAAGGAGAGAAATCCTGGAGGTCAACAAGGTATGGTGTTCTGGATGAACAGCACAACACTGACAGGCTTACAGGTTTGATTTCCAGCCTGTAACAACACGAGGAGAAGCTTATTAGAGAAAAAATGGGAAAGGTTTGAAAAGGCTCACAGTGATATCTCAGTCTCTTTTTATTTCAGCTATAAACATGGTGTTATTTCAGTGATGTTTCAGTATCATCGTACAGACAAGACATGATAATTAGGCGTGCAATTTATTCCAGATGAATAATTTTACTCAACATCATTAACCCGAATTTTTAATTGCAGGTTTGCTCTTATTTGAATTGCAACCATCCAGGTTGTACAGAAGGTTTGTGCAAAAACAAAATTAAGAGGCCACACTTGATAAACTTTGTCTGATGATAGTGGTTGTGTGTTTAAAGGAGGTCATGATACCACTGGGAAATCCTATTAACCACATTTTACAACATTTTCCTGGGGACTAGATTCATCCTCAGCTATCTTTTTTTTTTAGTTTAATTTTTATCAAAACCTGAATCTCCTGGTCAGTCGGGGAACCTGAGGAGCAGTTTGAAGACCCAATATTTGAACCTAATGACATTTTTCCAACTGTGCAGGAGGAGCGTACGGTTAAAATGAAGGAGACTCATCTCATATGAGGTTTACTGTTGATCTTATTGAACCGAGCAGATATTATGTTGTGACTGATTCAAAATGAACTCAATTTGATATGTTGTGCAGCTGATTCTGTTTTAATGCGCACCACTCAAGCATCACCTCCACATTTAATCCAGCACAGTGTGGTATACAGATTTTATTGTAGTAATTATTATTGTTATTATTATTATTATTGGGTTTTTAAAAATTAATTTGAAGTTGTCTAACTTAATTCCTAATTCCTACGTTTTTGAAAAGGCTTTGTAGTCGTGTTGCACCTCGGGTGTCTCAGAGTCGTGTTCGATGTTTGTCTGTCTGCATAAAAGTGTTTAATATTAGTTTGAGTGCAGCACCTGGACTGGCTGACTGATTCTTACTATATTTAATAAAGAGGCGGATGTAATTCCAACCTCAGCCTTCCAAGGAAATACAGGGACTTTTGGGAGTATTTGTGGAACATTGGAGTGCTGATATAGACCTACAGGCATGTGATCCTTATATAATCATCATATTAATAATAAGTTTGTTGTCTTTGTTGCCAGTGGCAGGGAAATTGAATAACACATGATGTCTTCCAGGGGGCATCCCTGAGTTTTGCTGACAATGTAGTTCTGTTTAATTGCATTTTCCATGTAATTTTTGCCAATCTGGGAGTTGATTATAATGTAACTTATTTAAATGAGACCTTGGCTGAGTTGCAACTTCCTGTGAACTCACCTGTATGTTAAAAGACATGCTACCGTGTGCCTTACCCATAGACTGTACCTCAAAGATGGATGTAAACACTGCGACTACATCCACTGGTTACTGGACTATCATTTTAAAACCTCGCTATGCTGATTAATTTAGTTTATTTGAGCCAGAAAGCACAGCAAACTGCACTATTTTTTTTTGTAAAATCCATTAAAAATGCTCATACATCAAAGGCGGTGAAAACATCCAAATGAGTATATGAAATTAGCAAAGGTGAGATCTGAAAAGCAGCTGTCAGCTACAGCTTCCTGTTTGGCCTTATCAGCCATATGCCATAACTTTAAGCCTTATTCCTCAGATCGATGAGTTATAATAAAAATCTGCCCCCTGTACTGGTTTTATGGAGGAGGAAACTATCCATAGAGGCCAAAATGTTTTGGGCTTTTTTGTGCTAAGCTGTAAATATACTTTTTAATCCTGTGCAGTTTGACATTTTAACATGGGAGTCTATGGGGCATTGACTGCTTTTCAAGGCAGCCTCAAGCAGCTGCACTGGGAGCTGCAGTTTTCTGCGCTTGCTGCTTCTTAAACCCCAGAGTTTGCTACTTGGCTGTGCCTCAGTCACTCTTTGCTGCTCCCCCACAGTGCAAAGCAGTGAGTAACACTAGCTAATGTTAGCTTAGCAATAGAGTTCACTAATGGCTACTTGTTCTCAGTGCATCACTGACTGCAACACAAACTCCAGAGACAATTTAATTTGTATTTTGCTACTGACAGCGTTAGCAAGGAAGCAAAGTAAGGTTGGACACTAGCTGCTATGTTGGGTGGGTAGAAGTTTGTCTGTGTTAGCAAGTATGTTAACATTTGGTAATGTAAGCCAAAAAAAGCCATTTTATGTGATCATCCTAGCCAAACGGTTTGTGACCAAAGTAACATAAACAGGTTGTTCGATCTGTGGAGGGATCTTGGCCTCTGCTCCAGCTTAGGGATTCATTAGCAAAGCTCTGCACATCCAGTCATAGTGGTGATATTTGGATTTGTTGTGTTTTGGTCTCAGTGTTCATCTATGGTCATGAACACTGACATTGCTAAGGTGTTTGCAACATATGAAAAATAATTAAAAATAATGGCGGTAATAAATCAAAAAGCAGCGAAAATGCTTATCAGCTTTTTAGACACCTCTGTAGTATATAAATACATTTTAGATCGCAGTAACAGACTGAGCTGAGCTGACCCTCAACTACAAAGAGCTGTGTGGGGAAAAAATAGTAGCTGGAGGTGTTTTAAATATTAACAAGAAGAAAGAAGAGATGACTTGATTTTTTTTCCCCATATCTTGTGTAAGGTGTTCACGTTTGGTTTCAATTGTCAGACATCAAACACACCTAAGAGCTTTTTTAAAATTTATTCACTGTCAGATAAGTTTTCGCTCAGCTGTGGTAGAGCGGCTATTTTCTAGCGATCTGAAGTGCAGTGCAGCTTTTCTTCGGACTGACATGCCAGCGTCAGTCAGGACTGAAATGTTGAAGGTAGATTAGATCCCAAGTCACGACCTAAACAAACGAGTTGAGTATGAGAAGTCAGTTACATGGAAATGTGGGCCCTTATATGTTAATTAAACAAATTGCACAATAGGAAATGTTGTGGATGAAGCTTTGAGAGCGAAAAGGCTTTTTAGTGTCATCTTATTCTTAAAATAAAGACCCATCCTGATTGATTTAGTAAGGCCTGTGGTTTCTTTGGTAACAGCAATTGCACTGTCAAAAATGCCAAGAAGTATTACACTCATGTCACATTTTGCAGACAAATGTATAGATTGGTTTTGACCTTGTGGATAGATGCACTAAAATTTCTGTGACAGGTTCATAATGGTGTGTTTCAAATACATTTTTTTTCTGAAGCAATAGCAGGAAATGTTGGCTGTATTGGACCCACTTTATCAAAGATTTAAAGTGATGATACCTCATTCAGCGGGGGAAAATAGACCCCATCGCTATGAGTGAAATCTCTGTAGCTACTTCAGAAAATTTAGGCTAGTATAAAAACAGGTTGTGATTTTAGTCTTAAGGATTTGTAGCTCCATATTTTAATTGCACAAGCACAGCGAGATGTCAGAGTGGACTGTGTGGGCGTCTCCAGGTGCACTTGCTATTTTGGTGTATGTAGATCAGCATGTAAAAGAGGAGGATGAAGCTGGAGGCTGTGGTGGAGGCTGTGGTGGTTAATGAACTTCCAGTCAGTCACATCACTGATTTCATTGCGCTAAAGCAGCTGTACCAATCAGACTGCATGACAAGAGCAGATCAACAAGTGACAGCAGGCTTCTAGCAGTCTGAAAACCAGACGCAGATGGTTTGGCTTTTTGTCAGGCATGTTCAATAATGATAGTGATAAATAATACAAAATGTTGGCAAAGCTAAGAGCATTATAGCTTCACTTTTACTTTGTGTTGGGATAAAAAGTCACATATCTACACACAGTCATAATGAACGCGTGTCTTCCAGTTTTGAGTAGGGCTACTTTGCGACATCATGCTGTCATTTGCATACAATTAAAGGTACGGTAAGTACTGTTTTTGAGTTTATTTAAAAGAAAAAGAATGGTGAACTCATAAATGTGCCTTGATTAGTGTGTAATCACGAACTGCCAACTCTTGAGCCACGATCGCCCCGCAGCCACGATTGGAGCGATCGTGGCTGCGGGGCGGGGAGGATAGAATCAGTGCTTACAACCACAGATCAAGTTGCCGTGGCATCTGTGCCATGTTGAACTGCTTTGCGATCTTTGGATCTGGAGCTTCATTTTCAGTTCGAGTTTTGTCTGTAATGTTATGGCAGAAGCCGGTGTTTGGAATCTTTTTTCCTTTTCTTTTTTTAGAGCCTGGAATTTCAGGCACATTTTTTACTAAAATTCCAACAAAGCCTCACTTGAATGGACCTCCCACGTTTTTGCACTTCTTCTGCTTCCATGTGGTCTGTACTTAGTACCAAAATACCACCTAGATCCATGAAGTGAAATTCAAGGTTAGGAAATTACCAAACAGTTGAATCACTACTTGTGCTGCAAAACAAAACAAAAGGGGTAGGGCGAGAAAAACGTCAGTATTATTAAGGTTGACGAGGGTAAATGGGTTGTTGGTTTGAAAGGAATAGGTGCTTTTACATGACGTTTGTCTGAACTGGGCGATGCGATATGAAGTAGGTTCTCTAAACACTGACAAACCCTGCTCTGTGATGTTTTGACATTTGTCATAATAGATTATTTTGAGTCCTGGATTAGGTTTAATCTCTCCCTGGGAAGCAGGCCCATCATGACGACAGCAAAGCACTACATGCAAATATCCACCCTGGGTCGATGAAACCTATACCAGGGAGTTAGAGTACGCAGGCAGCAGCCACACAGAATATCTCCCATATCTCAAGTGAGCATAGTGGTTATTAACAGTGGAGTATGGCATAGATTTAGGTAAAGCACACTGTGCGTTATTTAGGATGACTTTTTATTTCCCCTCGTCAGTAGGGGATTTGCTTTGTTTGTATATACAGAGAGTGTGTGTGTGTGTGTACTGAGTGAGACAAAGAGCTCTTAGTTCTTTCTTCAGTGAGAAGAGATCGAGTTTGCTTTACTCGTGTTTCCAGTGTGTGTGTGCTGTCTTGACGCCCTGCTCTTCTCTGTTTCT